CAGGCCTCCAAGGCTCCGAGGTGCTGGGTGCAGATTTGCGGAGGTGGTTGGCGAGGAGTGTAGGGTGGAGGCGGGTCAGAAGGCCGACCTCCACCCCAGAAACGTGGACCAGGGCCACCGCCTCCACCCCAACCACCACCGCCGCCGCCACCCCCACCACCTCCCGATGATGATCCTGGTAAGACGGGATCGAGCGTAGGTAGAAAGCGCACGAGAAGGGAACGGAGAAAGGGGTATATGATGAAGATGGTGACTCCGATGATGATCAACCAGAAGAACCAAGCCGTATCTAGATTGGAGGCCAATGATCGCATGAGAATATGCTCAAGAGTGTTCCGCCTCTGACGGAAGACACTGACCTGTCAATCCATCATTGTGTGAAGAGTCGTATTTTGAAGAGGCATCGAACTTGAGGGTATAAGTCAAAGCGCATGAGCCTGTTACAGAACAAATTTGAATATGGAGTGAGACAATGGGTTCAATCTTGAGGAAAAATATTTAAAAAAAGTAAAAAAAAATGGTGTGAGGAAATCAGACTTGTGGAAATTTAATTTGATTGAAAATTCTATAACAAAGATTAAAACCAAAGAAGGTAAGGGCATAATGAAAAACAAACCTTTGAGTACGTGTGGATCGTTTGCGTTCGACCATCCTTCACATCCCACTTCAACTCGACCAAGTTTCAGTTTGGCCGGAAGGTCGGCCTCGCATTTCCAATTGACATCAGTTCCCGAACCTAGATGTTTTTTTTTTTTCAAAAATTGTAAGGCCAGGAAACCAAGTCAGTAAATGCCATTTATGACACGTCAACCGTGATATTTTACTCTGTGTGGGAATACTACGGTGGGACTGACCGCCTTTATTGTAGCACTGGATGACATCAGGCCGAAAGATGTTGCACCCGGGTCCTTGACAGACCAGTTGATCGACTGGCGAGGTCCGACGAAAGTTTGTCTTCTCACCGTCGAAGAAGGTGAGCGTTGGGATTTCGGAGAGCAAGACCTTGGAATTAGAAACCATCTGATTTGTTTGTCAACAGTTGCAATCCGGATGAGGCTCGTCGAAAATTCAGTTTGCGCTTGCAGTCGTCTGGGGTTGTCGTCGGTCTATGTATGTGGGTGCTTTGAGATGGCGAGCTTCCTTTTGGGAGGAGATGTATTCAGGAGTTCTAGAAAATTTCTCAAATTTCTCGGTTGGTCGAGAACTTTGTGGTGGCCGGGTGAGAAACCCTCAGCCCTGGGACGCAAATCCGATCCGATATCACAGGAATCCGAGTTAGTATATCGGCTAGTATATCCGCCTTTCATGATAGGGGCGCGGAGGAGACGGGTTCGATTCCCGTACTCGGAATTCACTTTTGCGCAGGTGTCTCCCGGGGTGGCTGTGCTTCTCAAATCGACTCCTGTTGGCCCAATGAGATCGATGCAAAGGCCAACTCTGCACTTTTTGTCTTATTGTTAAGAAAAAAAAATGGGGGATGGGATCCTTAGAGCATCATTATCGGTCGCTAAGTTAGCTTGAGTTAAGCCACTTACCACCAAACTTCAACCGCACCGGACCGAGCTAAGTTGGTGATAACTTGCCTCGATGGTCCGTTTTCAGCTAACCGTTGGTAACTGTAGCAATGGTTACCAACGTAGTTAGCGAGTGCGATCACTCCAACTTGGAGTCCACCCGCCCACACTACACACCACCACTCCAAATCACACCCGGCAAACTACACCGGTGCGACTGAATGGGGGTCGATAAGTTAACTTGCCAATTCATGCGAGTTAAAACTCGCGTCAACTTATTGAACCAATAATGATGCTCTTAAAATAAGGTCCAGTGCCATGGGATTCAATTTTGAAAAATGGGCAATCTTTCTGCCTTCTGCACAAAACTTGACACAAAGTAGAAAGATCTAAAATTGAGAGTCTTCACTTCGGTGCTAATGACTGGCTTCTGGTGATGTTTGATTTTGATGGAATGATAATTTTAGTAAGATAAATTCTCAAAAATTGAATTTTTGGGCCCTATGGTACTGGCCAATCTTTCAACCAGCCTTAGAGCAACTCCACTACATGTGTAAACTGTGGTCATAGTAAAATTCACACAATGCATCCCCAAATTTGATCCTCAAAGCTAGAATTTGGTTGGTCTTGCACGAGTGGAAGGTATACTGGGGTGTAAAAAGGTGTGAACAGTGTTGTATCATATGTGAATTGGGAGGTAAGCAATCAATAGTGACAGGTTTCACACAAAGCAGGGCTGAGTTTATGGCTGGTTTGTTTGGATTACACATCCTCAACCGACCAACTTGAAATCATGAGACTCAGGCAAGTGGTATAAAAGGGGGAGGCATATTTACACTTTCCAGGACCTTCTTTTACATCCTGGATTGATTTGGCTCTTGGTATACTTCCCCAAGTGGGGCAGAGTTTTTGGAGCCTGCCACCTGGGGCTCAAATGAGGTTTACATCAGCAATTTACATCCCACATTTGAGTTGCTCTTACAATGTTGTGTGCAAGTTTGGTTTTACTGAGTGTCACCCCCTGTGAGACTGGAGGAGTCCACTGTGGAGCCCACGCTGTTAAGCTCAAAAGTGTTTGTGAGAACGTTTTGCTGAGTTCAGAAAGGGATGTGTGAGGTAACCTTTGCCTGATTAAAAACAGGTTTTATTACCAAAACTAGAACTAGAACTGAGAAAAAAATATTCAAGAAATTATTAGAAATGACAAAAATAGATAACAAGAGAAAATAAAAGAATCCAAAGATAATAACAACCTACCACGATGAGAGTTGCTTTTTGAATTAGACAGAATAGAAAGACTGAAGTACATGAGATCAAACAGGCAAAAATAGTAGACACTAGATAATGAATAAGAAAATCAAGAAGAACAATGAATAACAAGAGTCAATAAAAATGCCCTTTTTGAGGAAAGAAAGTTATACGGTCTTTTTCTCAACAAATTGGCAGAAGCCAAGTGAGAAGGTCAAGAGAGAGAGTTAGCGCAAGAAGAACCACTGATGGCTGTATAGATGAAGATATGAGTTGTAGTCGGCGTCAATGTGAGTGGGTGAGGAGCAAGATGATTGATAATAGAAAGAGAAATAGAGAAGAGAGAAAGCAAAGTTGGAGGGCAAAGTGGAAGGGAATGATGTTGAGAGTTGATGGGCGAGAGAGTACTTTGAGCAGTTTGAGGAGAAGTTGGTCAATTGTTGTAGACGGAGAGTTTTGGTGAGGTAAGAAGATGCTGAGGAGAGGGAGTTCATGTTGTTAAAATTTCACTCGTCATTGCTTTTGTTTTCTCTGTCAATTCAGCAACCTGTCACTCATTGTTTAGCTGCCCATCTTGCATGTTTATTGTGTATTTCTTATCCATTATGCATCATTAGTGACCCACAACTTGATCATGATGTACTTAGATTACTTAAGACTGCTTGATAATTGGGAATAAAAAAATCATCTGTTCTGACCAAACTTTTCATTTGAGTGACACTTGAGCCTCCTTGAAGTCTTATTGTGAGGAAACTTAAGCCTCCTCAATTAAGATTTAGGTTAAACTATTTCAGACCTTGTCTGATTTTGGCATCACCAACTTTCCCTTATCCGTTAAAATTTCAACTTAAGTGCAAAGGAATGGCAGTCTTTTATACTCATTGATTGAGCGTTTGAGATGTGGTTGCCAATAGGTTTTGGGTTGAGCTGAGGATTGAGGGGTGAGAGTGCATACACCTTGGGCGCAGTTCGACGTGGGCGGACACCATTTTTTTCGGTGGATCCCACAGGTGGCCACTGCGGCAGGTCGGACCAGCAGCTGACGGTCCACAGTTTTGCGTGGACTCCACCCCTGCATCCATGTCAGCAGCAGGTGGAAACAAGGAGGTGTCCCCGTGGAGCCTGGATTAACCGATCTGTAAGATTGGGTGCCGCCGGGCAGCCTGCCAAAAAGACAGCACAGGTCCAGATCAAACACACGACCAGGTGCCAGTGCTAAGCACCAGCACTTCACCGCTTGGCTATCAACAAGTTGATCGACAAACAACCTTCCATCACCAAACACGCTCACCCCCCTCCTTTTTTTAACTCACGACAAAAAGATTGTCAAAGTTTTTTTTCAATTTTTTTTTTGCAAACCGGTTTTCTCAAGTTTTCAGGATCTCAGGACCCACATCAGCGGGTCCTGATTGGAGCCAAAACAAATGTCGGTCGGTGTGGAATCAATGTGAGTAATGAGCCCACCTGCTCCACATCGGCTCGGATGTGGGTTTGTGGAATCAACATCCAAAAAAACTCGGTTTGTGGAACCGCCATCGAAATCAGCTCTTACCAAACACTTACAGAGCCGATCTTGTTGGTTCCACGGATCGGCCGAGTTTTGTTGGTTCTACAACCCCGCGCGGTATGAACTGCTCCTGGGGTGTATGTTCAAGGTTCTCTCTTGGCCTGCCTTACAACTGCACAAGGTTTCAAGGCCAAGAGGGATTCCTCTTGGCCCTGAGCTATTGTAACCTTTGGGCTGGGAGGGGTTCCTCCGTTCCTCCCCGCTGTTTTTTTTTTTTTTTTCATGTTAGTACCATGGGCTATCCCATAGGACCCATGCCTGGGTCCTATGGGATAAGGCTCAACCTAAACCCATATGCAATGGGTTTAGGTTGCTGGCTGGCGTGCAGCCTCACACTCCAGTTGAAATTGGTGTGCGGGTCCACACGCCAACCTGCTGGGGGAATGCCCCTGCAGATCATTGGAGTGCGGACCCCACACCAATTTTGATTGGAGTGCAGTCCCAGTGGGTGTGCAAAGGGGGGGGGGGGAGTGTGGTTATCATTCCCCCTCCAAGAAACTCTTGAGTGTGTGGTAGTGCACTCCAAGAATCCTTGGAGTGCACACCTTTTTGGTGTATGCAGGGGAAATCTTTTTAGCACTTCTCAAGCCAAAATGGTGCAGGTTTCTGTGGTAATTTTCTGTGACAGGAGGTGCAAGTTGTTTTTCCTTCATCTCTTCTTCTTCTTCTAACCTGACCAGTGTGAAAAATGGCATGACTTCAGTGTAAAGAATACGGTGACTTTGGGAGATCTTTCACTTGAAAGTTTAATAATTTTTTCTAGATAACTTTGTGACTCTTATATTACTTGTTTGTTGTTTGTAGATAATACTATGTTTTTGTAATGATAGAGAAAACAACAAAATAAGTCTCTTGAGGAGACAATACGGAAGAGAAAACATCGCGTCTTTTATAGATAAATATTTGAAAGTTATTGTAACAACTTCTTATTATCATAACTAAAGAGTGAAATTCATAACCTGGGTGACAAACCTATAACATATCTTTGATCCGCTACTTAAAGGTTAGAGTTAAATATAGAAAATAAAGAGAAATCGTAACTATAATAGACTAATCAACGAATGTAGACTCTTTTTGAGTATTTTGTTTTTTAGAAGATGTTTTCGCGAGGTTTCCGGGCCTGAGTTTGACATTCAGCTGTTTTTCTGGGAGAGGAAATAAACCTGCATGATACTCTTTCATGAGCATCTTCACACAACAAGATCAAAAAAATGGCTCAATGAATGATTTGCTGGGAAATATGTGCGGCTGGGCTCTAACTTTGGATTAGATATCTGTGTTTTCGGCTGTGGGGTCTTCATGGGGAACGGCTCGGTCAGGCTGTGAATGATCACCAACATTCTTGACATTAAAGTACATTCGTCTCCTTCGGCCAGCCAGGTTGACTACATAGATCATCAGACAAATGGCTGATGCGGAAGGAAGCTCGAGAGGTCAGTCATCCTAATCTCATGAACCCCATGCTTAGAGGCAAACAACTCATGTTTTTATTATCTTTGGGCAGCTTCGGTCCGTCAGGCGTTGGTTGATCTGTCTGTCAAGTATCAGTTTGCGGCAGATAATGCGGCGAGTGATTGGCAAGACGAGGAAAGAGAGCCGACGGAGGATGACCGAACGAGGAAAATCGAAGTGTTCGATAAGCTGCACTCCAGCCTCCTACCATCCATCAAGCACCATCTCAGTTGTCTCGTAACTTCCCTCGATCTGGAACACCGTCCGAGCAATCATCCTACTCCCAATCTCGGCTTGACTTTGGAGACCTTATCAAGCTTGGATCACACCTTGGACCAAATTATCGTCGACTTTGGTCACCTCCATGTACCCCTACCACCTGTTGCCCACGATCATCCCTTGGATCGATGCAAACGATTTAGATCTGACCAACTGATCAGCAACATCTCCGACCTGATTCAAGACCCCATCCGTTCTACATTCTTATATTGCTCCGATTTCATTCAATTATGGGAGCTCTCAACCGATCAACCAGAGAGCATTGGGCTTCAGACGAGCGTATCCTATTCGGCAGAAACTGTGCTTGATGGAATAACAGAAGCGACTAACTTGGTCAATAAGATCCTCCGATTCTCTCAGCTATCTGACTTGGATATCCTTCAAGAACAGTGGCAAGAGAAAGCCGAATCACTCGATGGCATACTCGAAGGTCTCACCGAACTCACCAATTCCGCAATCGGCCATCGGAGACCATTAAGTGCTGTCAGAAAAAGTATGCTCAATGAGACTCGATTGGACATCACGCTCGTCAAGTTACTAAGAACTCTATACGATAAAGTATCCAAACCGACGATCAAAAAACTAGCGTTCAAATTGGATCCTGATGTCGATTCGGAGAGCTTATCGATCATGCACACAGCTCCAGAGACGACGGATGGCTCCCTTCTTATTCACCTGCACTTTTTGCTCGAGAATTTCAAGAACGATCAATCGAATGGAGAAACAGCCGATAGAAAGATTTCAAAGAGCCGGATCTCAAGGCGGGCCGAATCGATGTTACTCCCCATAGGTCTATATCTGATCCCTCTGCCTTCATCAGTCGACCATCATTCTTCACCCGCACGTGACTTCAAGGCTTGGCTAATCATGTGGCAAACACTTTGGCACACCGCGATCAATCGCTACTAGATGTTTTCTGTTCGGCCCTGATCGTAGATCTGTCGTCCAACTAGTATCTTGAAAAAGAGCAGTAAGAGGAGCAAAAAAAAAAATACATCTTGAGCGCTCATCCATCGCTGATGATCACCAGAAGCCATCGCCAAATGATCATATGTATACGTGTCACTTGATCCTCAACCATGTTTCATATAGTACTACCCTTCACATCACTCAAGATTTATCTGCAGCGATTTTGATCTTTACTGTGATTCCCACTGCCACAATATATCAATATTTTTAGATTGACTGTATGGTGAGCTTGTACTCGATGTAGCGGGTGATGATAGTCCATTATAGTTACTGTATTCCATGATTGTGCAATTGAGACTTAGCAAGGTACATGGCTATCAGTATCCTGAATTGGTATTTTCACTGCAGAGTGATCAACGGCAATAGTGAGAGTCAAAGCGAATCTATGATATGTACAAGGGGTATTTCAGACCAGTCTGTTTCAGATAAGGATTGTATCTCGCAAAAAAAAAAAAAAAAACTGGACGAAAGAAGATGAGCTTCTCATTTCGGATCCGGGGCATAGTTCTTTGTCTTCACGTCTTGGTCGAACAGACACAGTTCCAATGCTGGCAATTCGTAGTCATCCATATACCAAAATTATCAGAGCACGATATAAACAATGTGAAGTAGTAGAAGAGGAGAACTTTCAGCTACAAAGTCTTCGTGTAATGATGATGGAGGAGAAAGTGTGGAGGAAAAAAAAAACTGACCGGTAAAGCTGTTTAGCGTGGTAGTCCATGTCGCCTGTTTCATGGACACGCGGGTAGCAATGAGGACATATTCAAGTAAGATCATTCAAAGGGTTATAAATATCGAACGACAGTCTCAGGAAGGATTCATAACATGGGCTTGCGAAGACTGACGTTTGCAATCCACGGAGCAAGTCCGTTCTTTTCGGCGGCAGTCTGGGCGTTCTTTACCACTTGAACGGCCCTGATCCCGGAGCGGACGGCGGTCTTGGAGTCCTTGAACCGGCCGGCCTCGACGACGAACTGTTGACGAATGGCCAGATAGTCGAGGATCGTCTTGTCCAAGTAGTCGATATACTCTCGAACCTGGAGAAAACACGCCCATGTGCGAAATTTTTGGTCGTCAATTTCTTGATCCGTTCTCCGCCGGCAAAGGATGACTAGTGGTATTAATCGGACTAACCTGAGTTAAGCTATCGCAACACTTCGTTCCGTTCGAGAGAGTGATTGTAGGCTGAGCCCAGACGGCGGTGCCTGGGACGTGTTTCTTGGGATCCCGGCCGTAGCTAATATCTTCATCCGAGCCATACTTGACGGCGTTGCCGTGCGGGTCTACCGTTGGGCCGTAGCCTGCTTGGGTGCTCTGGTAACAAACTCCATTGGGGTGTTGCGACTTCGGGAGGGAGAGCGTGGTCGGTCCTGGAACGGAGTCTAGCTTCGGAGTCGCATGAGCCAGCCAAGCTAGACAAGAAAACAAACAGAGCCGGAGAGCAAGCATTGAAGTATCCGTGTATTGATGTATTTCTTCAGATCGCCCTGGGGAGCAGAGGTAGTTTCGCTTTTGTAAACTTGCAGACAGGTAATATTATATGGGATTGTGGCGGCTCGGCGGACGAAAAATCGGCTTGTGGGAACGACACACTGGGCCCTTGGACTGGGGAGGACAATCTGTCAAAATGGGAACCGTAGACCAGGAAGGACTGAGGAGCCTTGACGGCGCGAAAAAGTTATTCCGGGTTGCCCTCCATCCGTACACCTTGTGCCAAGGTGCGCCACAAGCGCTGTATGGACCAAAGTGTCGTATGGCAGCGAGCACCGAGTCATGGAGTCATGATGTTCTGCTCTGTTCTGCTCCGGCCATCAGGGGCACAGTCTGTATGTAGCACAACACGTTCTTTAGGGGACCGCCTGCAACATCTCTCAGCAGCGCCATCCGTTTTTAAAAGACACAAGACTCATATTGTTTATCGGACTCTTTAAATCCCGGAGGAGGGACTTGTGCCAACAGCCGGCCGGCGGAGGTACATATAACATAGGATGCAAAATGCAGCTGGTTTCGGAGTTCAACCCTCATTCACCCAGCACCAATTCGCATTGCGTTTTCCTCTTCCTTCATAAAATAGTTCTCAAACATCCACTCTAACTAACTACCCTTCCAAGTATCATCCTCCTAATTGGATACCATGAACCTCACCAAATCAACACTTCTAGTTTTCTTGGCTTGTGTATGCCAGTTGGCAATTGCAAAGTGTGACAAGGGTCAAGTGAATGCTTGCGGGACTTACAGTGGCGACCTTTGTGAGTCTTTTTTCCTTTTTTGGCCCAACCCATGGCTGCAGCAGTTCATGACCGGACCAAAATTTGTTTGACCTATTGATATGGGTTTGCCAGACCTGCCAACGGAAAATGATCTAGGTTGTCAAAAAACTGTGTCCGAGCAGCACTTCTGCTGTCCCTCGAACATGGTAAGTGAGACTCCGGTCAAAAGTCGTTTGTCTGATTGCACAAGCTCAGGGGTTCACCTCAATATCTATCGACTTTAGCCCACCAAACCTATTCCACGGCTGGGCTTCGCGATCAGGCGCTACGGCTGTAGAGCCAACAAATATTAGCGGCCAGGTTCATCTTTCAAAACAATCTTGTGCGTTCATCTTTGAGTTCCAATGTGCACATATTTGGATCCCTGACTCTGGACTACGATCTGATCCTTCAAAACATCGCTTGAATACAACGGCCTGAACGGCTTGCTTTTATCTACTACTAGGGTTTTCAGGGCGGCTTCGCCGCCCTCCAAAAGAATGTTTTGCTTTAGCCCTTTCCGATTATTTTCTAACTCAAGCGCCCCTACATCTACTCATAACTCCCCTCCACAAGTCACACACTCTGTTTCCGCACAAGGCACAATAGTCATAGGTGTAAATTAATGCTTATACAAATTTTTTATAATCATTCCTCATGCCGTAGAATTAGAGCGAAGTAGAATTATTGCCTTCGTCACAAGTCCTAGTGCCCACCGAAAGAAAAGCTCTCTTTAACAAAACGACTTGTATCTATTACGTTATTGTATCGTAACATCCCAACACAACAATTACTATATCCGCTCATCTGGACCTCGCTCCCAATACCCGCCCCCAGTAGCGGTCTTTTTCCGTCCTCCACGCTTTGATATTTCCGAACGACGGATCCGGTTATAACTCCTCCACTACAACAATTACTTAACTCAGCGTTCTAATAACCAAGTTGATGGGACAAATTCCAGGGTGCCATGCCGGGGACCCATTACTCACCCTACCCAAACAGCCCGTACGAAGAGTGAATCCAGCGTCTACTGAGTCTTTGAAAGGAGATTCTCGACCTACGCTGAATGGAAACCCCATTTCTCCCGGGAACTCTAAGGACGGCTTGATGCCTAAGAATCAACACCAGTCCGAACCTCCATCAGACTCACCAGAAGAATTAAGGTGTGCCAGAAGAATTTTGAAATAAATTTACCCGGCCAGGATTTGTATCATGGAAACTGTCTATACCAGTACATATGTACTTCTCAAGTAAATCCCAAATCTCGAGGGTCAATCCACCATGTTTTACTGGATTATCCTAATCTATTCCTATGTGATGTTTTGATACCAATTAGTGCCTATCCTCTTCTTGTTTATCCACAGGCCGGGTCGCCATTGTCACAGGTGAACCACTCTTTTGGGAATCGAAAAAGCTCATGGTCTGATGGAAGGCTGGGCAGAGGGGCATTAAATAGAATCATTGACAGAATGGCTCTTGTAATCTATCACAGGTGCAAATAGCGGTATAGGCTACTTTACTGCTCTGGAACTTGCTCGCCATGGCGCAAAAACTTAGTAAGATTGTTAATCCAAAACATCCGAGAGCTAGCCAGGCCCAAAGGAAGTCTGACAGACAGAGTTTGGGTCAACAGCTTAGCTTGTAGAAACCCTGGGCTCGCCGAGGAGGCAATCAACAAGATCAGGGCAATTGTGCCAGGCTCAGACCTTCGGTTTTTGAAATTGGACATCACCTCACTCAACTCTGCTCATTCGGCAGCTCAAGAGTTCATCAAGTCAGAAGAGAGGCTCGATATCCTGGTCAACAACGCTGCAATAGTCTGTTTTTCATCTGAAGCTATTAGACCACCCTCAGAGTCAAGGCGCACACGAGCCTTTCATCTTGCTCACTGAACTGATTTCCAATACCGTTACATTTCATCCAGGTCAGTGAATAATTCTAAGGCAAGAAACGGGCAAAGATGCAGTTAACGTATAAGTGGTAAGTATGGGAGAGGGGTGGTGTAAGGAATGCATTGTGTAATGTATGAGGTGTAAAAATGGGATGGGTCGAGATGGGAGGGAGCATTTTAAGCAGTTGGAATGTGATTCAGGTGAATCATCTAGGGTTGCATTCTGGGGAACGGTGAATTATCAGGGGGTGAAGGTTTGACCGTAAAAGTCAAGAGAAAGTTTAGAGGCGGACGTTGTAGGCCGGAAGAAGCAAAATAAGAGGGGGGGCCGGAAATGGGAAGCGGGGAGGGGGGGAAAGAAGAGGTGTATGTAGGGTATAAAAGGGGATGCTCTTGTTGGTGGATTGATGAACCACCGGTTGGCTTTTGCTCGGCTCTATCGCCATTAAGCCACCGGTCCAGGCGTAAGCCTGATAAGGGGTATAAAAATGATGTAAAGTGTCATAATCGGGAGAATGGTGAAACCAACGGGGGGAATGTTCGGGGGGAGCGTGGTTTAATAGTAAACTCTTAATCTATCAGCCCGATTCGACATATCTCCATTGTTTCTCCTACATTATGTTTTCCGATCAAACTTTCTTTCTTCATGGCTTCACAAAGACAGTAAAGCATTTGGATGTTCTTGCACAACTTCATTCCAACCGATTTCAACCTACACTTGGTGTTCTTCACAATCTTGAGGTACATACATGAGATTTCTTTTGCAAATTCTGACGGTAGGTCTGTATACGCCCACAAGAAAGTCAAGCAACAGTGGGACCACTGTTACTGCAGACAAGAACCAGACTTTTAATTGCTCCAGCTGGCTTGCCCTATCACTATCAACTTGCCAGACAGTTTTGCTTTCCAATGATGTCTTTTCAAGTCAACAGGCTCTGCACTAAGTTTTTTTCTTCTTCTCTTTGAGTTGACCAACCCTCGAAGTACAGCTTGATTTGATTCTTGCATCTGATCCATTTGGAACTTTGGAGATTCTGGAATCTGGAATGACCGGGCTCTGTCCAACCAATGGTAACCAATTCCCCATTGGTGGGGGGGCCCCTCCGAAGGAGGGACTTAGGCGTAAAGTTGACCTCCCTGCCTGAGAGAATTACAAATTCTGTACTTTTTCTTTGCTTCAACATGGTGGGTCTCTCTCTTACACTTGCAGACAGCAAAAACTGACCCTGCATTTTGGGGGTGTTTGAATAGTCAAGCCAAAAATTTCAGTTTTTTCTTGTTGAAATTTTCAGACTTTTGGGCTGTTTGTAGCCTACAGAGTGTAGAAAAAAGAAAAAAGAATAGCAGATTAACAGTGAAAGTAGATGGCAAGGGTCTAAAAGTAGTACAAAACCATCAGTATGTATCACTTGAAACCATAACTATGGGTTTAAGTATGGCTTAATCTGTGCTTATCCAAAAATAAGAACAGCTATTGTGTAAATGATTGCGCCCTTTGCACTTCTTTTTTTTTCTCACACAACTTTTTTTTGCCCCCGATCCTTGAAGCCCGTCCCCAACTTTGCAAAGTCCCGCGGAGCACACACCGGCTGAGGCCACCCAATTTCACCGGATCAACCGGAGTCCCACATTTTTTTGGGGGGTCAAGTCGGTCATGAGAATTGGGAGGTAATCTCCCACAAATTTACCCAAAGGGCTCAGGGCTTCAAGGATCAGAGGAAAAAAAAAGGTTCGGAATCAGCACAAACATTCCTACAATAGCTGTACATATGTGGAAATGAAAAAAAAAAATTGAACCGTGTTGACAATTTTGAACTCTACACATCTGTAGGAGTTCAAAATTGTGATAAAATGATGTGACAGGGCATAGGCCCCGCGTGTCCATTTTGGATCTTGTGGGTGGGGCATCATTGGTCTATGCTGTCTGCAACTGTATGTACAACATACCTTAAGAGTGCTGTGACTTAGGTCACAGGGTGTGACTCGGCTGTGGCTCAGCCAGCCGGAGGAGACTATATCTGTCTCCTCCGGGACACACCAACCGGAATCCATACTGATTACACACTTGGAATCACTAAAGGTTATGAGCCTGTGATACTACAGTTGCGTACGGCATAGACCAACCATGCCCCGCCCGCAAAATCCAAATTGGACACGCGGGGCCTATGCCCCGGGGGGCATGTGCCCTGACACTTAATTTTATTACAATTTTGAACTCCTACAGATGTGTAGAGTTCAAAATTGTAAACACTAAGGTTTTGAGTGAGTGGTTCAATTTTTTTTTCATTTCCACATACATATAATCGGACAAGCATAGATTAAGCCATACTTAAACCCATAGTTATGGCTTTAAGTGATACATAATCATGGTTTTATACTACTTGTACACCCTCAACATCTACTTTCACTGTTAATTTGCTATTCTAGTGTATTTTTTCTATGCTCTGGAGGCTACAAACAGCTCAAAAGGCTGAAAATTTCAAAAAAAATCTGAAAATTTTGGCTCAACTATTTGGACATCCCCAAAATCCAGGGTCGGTTTTTGCCGTCCGCAACTGTAGCTCCACTGAAGAATCTCGAACCCAACAAACCATACCAGATTAACCTTTTGAATCTTGCCAACAAACCCTGCCAGATTGATCTTTTGAATCTCGCCAACAAAACATACCAGACCTGTCTTTTATCTTGCCAACAAACCATTCCAGACCCTCTTCCTTAAATTTACCAACACAGAATCCCATTTTTTCTGACCCTTAGGCTAAAACCAGGTTCCCAAGATCAACGTTTTTCAATTAGCCACTCAATTGTGATGAGCAATGGTTCTTATGGCGCTCACAGTTGGATTCAACTCTTTCTAGCGGATTTAAACTGTGTTTTGGGAATTCTATTGCCTCCAACTCCCCATGGACCCATGCAAGCAAATTACAACTCGATTGGTTTCCAGCATAATCTCAATCGGCTGCGTGTTTTCAATCAATGGATCTCAGGGAAACGTCCAACTCATTGATCAAGAGCTTGGAGGAATAATCACAAAGGATTTGATTGCCAACGATTGCAGCAAGTTCATCATCCTCTTCTCATCCCCCCAGTCAAACAAACCACTGGTGGCACTCCAAAGGAATACAAAATTTGATTTCCCCAACACCAACATCCAGCCCACATCTACAACCATCACAAGCATTATAGGCCCCAAGAGAACTCCCCGGGCCTTAGTCATATGCAATCGAACAATCAACATTGTGGTTTTCAATCTTCTTACAATCAAGAACCTCAATCAATTGAGGAATAACATGACTATGGAAACTTGTCTTTGGGACCAACAATTGACAAGATGATCAAAGGCCAGGATTTTGAAGGCTGCTCAGATCAGGCACAGGATGAGGATTTCAACTGCCGTTCAGTCAAATTGCAAAATGAGGTAGACAATCTAGAAGATATTGAATGGGACAACCGGTCCAATCTAGACATGAATGCAGCTCCTGATTTGTACCAACCAGGACAACTTTTGACCTCTGAGACGGTTCCAGAAGATTGTGACAGTCACCCCTTTCCTGAAAACAGTTCAATGCAACAGCTGGCACCAAGTTTTGATCTGAAGAACTACAGTGCTGATGATGTAGACTGCTGGGCCGGCACTTTGTCAGCAGAAGAATTTGAGCACCTTTGAATCATGGGACCCAATGCTAGAACTGAATCTTTCCGACAATATGCAACTCTACAAATTGATCAATTGACTCAACCACATTCCCCACTCAATTCTTTATCTCCCCAATCAAATCAAGCACTCCACAACCAAAATATCTAACCAACAACCAATGAAATTGACAACTGTTGTATTCCTTCAGGTCATGTTGAGCATCACCCTGATCAATTCAACCCCTCTAATTACTATGACCACTCCAACTACTGTGCCTCTGATCTTGATGAGAATCCAGAGAACAAATCAGTTTTAGATGAAAGCAGCTTTAATGGTGTTTTTGACAATGGTGGTTTTGATGATGGTGGATACAACACTGGTGGATTTGACAATGGGGGATTTGATGATGGCAGTTTTGACAATGGTGGCTTTGACAATGGCAGCTTTGACAATGGTGGCTTTGATGATGACGGCTATGACAATGGTGGATTTGACAATGATGATGGTCTCACTTACTATTAGCCTGTTTCACAACACAATCCTCTTTGCCACAACAATTTTATTTATTTTTTATTTTCAACCTCCTCAACCTTTCAACAATTTTTTTCAAGAGTGTCTTATTTTTTGATTATTTACTTCTTCTACCTTTCTTCATGTTCTTTCTATTTTTTCTCTCTCAGCTTGTATGTAGTTAGGACCTCCCTGGCAGGTGTCTTAGAGCCTTGCCAAGGGGGTGGGTGTTGTGACCTAGGTCACAGGGTGTGACTTGGCTGCAGCCCAGCCAGACTGCAACGGTGGGCCAGCTACGCTAACTGTAGCGTTAGCGTAGCGAAAAATTGCTACAATGTAGCGTAGCGTTAGCGCTTTTTTCATTTTCAGCGCTAACGCTATGCGCACGGGGAAAAACAATGCGCTAACGTTTAGCGTAGCGTTAGCGCAATTCTCCCCATCTGCGCTAACGCTACGCGCACAGGGCGCAAAAAACCGCCCGCTACACTGCGCTACAGCAGTTTTTAGCGGTTTTTTGGCGTTTCTTGCCGCTAAAAACGCTGTAGCGTAGCGTAACACAGCGTAGCGGTGCCTGCGGGGCGCTAACACTACACCAAAAAATGGCTAGTGTTAGCGCCGCTACAAGTTAGCGTAGCGCAGCGGCCGTAGCGGCGCGCTAACACTACATGAAAAAAAAAAATTGGCGCCGCTACGCTAACGCTACATGGGCCCGTAGCGGCCCACCGCTGGCCAGAGGGAGGAGACTACATCTGTCTCCTATGGGACACACCAACCGGAATCCATACCGATTACACACTCAGAGTCACTACAAGGAGTAAGAAGTCACCAAATGGAGGGGCTGTTGCAGGAGATTGCATTGCTTGGTTGCATGAGCTGTGAAAGTTGCTCAATGCATGTGAACTGAGGGTTTTAAAAGTTCATTGCACTAGGACGGTTCACATCTTGATTCTTAGTCACTTTGCTGGAACAGAACCAGCATGATGATATAAAAAAATGGTGTTAATTTAATTTAAATATCTATGTGATTCAGCAATTCCATAACCCATCACCAGGTCTACTACATTTCCAAATCAACCATGGTATAACTCCCAACTTTTTCACAGTGTCCTCGGAATTCTGGTGTGTAATTTGAATTTTTCTTGCATAAGTACTTTGCCTTACTAACAAGAGACTTCCAGAATTATGCGGCAGTATTCCAAACGGCAAAGCCTCATTCAAATTTTGTGACATCTTATTAATACTTGTCTGGTTGGAAAATGGAGAGACTGACAAAATGGTTGAGAAGGCTGTTGGTATCAGGAATTTACCAGATATCACTCAATTGGCCTTTCCGCAAAGCCAGATGTTGCAATCAATTATGAAGACATTGTTTGGTGTTATAGTTTGTTTTGTCCAATAGATACCTCAATCCCCGGCGGTCACCTAAATCACATGGAGAATTTGACTTGGAAAGGCTGTTTGACATGCCTGACAACAACTTCCGGCAGGCTGCATCCTGATTTTTCTACTTTCTTTTTTCATTGCAAAAACCAGTTTTGCTCTGGTAGAAAACATACAAATTACAATGAAGTTCAAGATTTTGAACTTTGATTTGCAAATTTGGCAGAGAGGCTCAATCACACTCTCAGTATAAGCATATTTTATGCCTGCAGAAGGAGAATTTCTCTTTTTTCTGTTTGTTCTCTCAAAAAAGATTGGTGTGAGAATAAAAATAGGAAAAAATACAGAAAGATCAAGTAGATGTCATATTAGAACAAGAAAAAAAGTACAATGAAATTTTGAAAAAAAGAAAATACAAAAAAGGACCTCAAAATCATGCCTGGCTCATGCCAACTTTGAGTGATAGCTTAGTACGTTAGCATCTCTGGTGAGACTGGGCTGCCACCCAGACCTGCCCACAAGGCACTCTCTCCAACTTCAAGGCTCAAGCTTGTGCTTTGAAGCACTGGAATCCAAAACACGCAGCCAAAAATAACGGGACACCCACTAGTACATATGCCATACGCGCCACCCATTTCTATCGCGTCTGTAGGTGTCTGTGGCGTAAAAATAAACATGAGGGCAACTCGTGATACATACAAAATAATCTTTTTCACCGCCATGGTATGTATGTACATAGAAAAGTCAGATGGAACCGGGGTTTCAGTTTACCCTCCAGCCAGCACCACTTCTTTATAAATTATAGCCTTTCCACTGATCTCAAACATCAACTGCAACTACTCTTCCACCCTTCCCCCGTATCCTCCTTGGACACCATGAACCTCACCATATCAACACTTCTAGTTTTCTTAGCTGGTGTTTGCAAGTTCACAATTGAGTGTCCCCAGCAGATGTCGGATGCTTGTGCGACTTCCGATGGGACCCTTTGTGAGTATATTTTTCTTCTTCCCAAGTCAGGACTGCACAAGTTGACCAGACCAAAAATTTCTCTGTCCTATCAATGGGGTTTGCAAGACCCAGCGCCGCCAAATAATCTTGATTGTCACATAACTTCGAGCGAAATCCACTACTGTTGTCCTTCCGACAATTTGCCAGTAAGTCAGACTCCTACTCTGCTTGATCACACCACATAGCTCAGGGTTTGAACTCATTGTCTTTTTGACCTCAGCCAACATCATCTGGTGTTCCGCTGAACGACGCAACCCAATATCTGGGTTGCGTCAAATCGTGACCGCTCGGCTGATCTTTCAAAACCGTGGAGCCAAAAGGTTTATCTGAAGAACCTCGCTTGAATCCAACGACTTAAACTAGTTGCTTTAGACTGGTATCAGCCCGATTTGAAATATCTGATTGCTTCTCCAACGTTGTTTTGCAATCATATGTTCTTCCTTCAAGCGTTCCCGCGGAAAGTAACAAGTATTTTGTTGCCATTGTACGCATTCATACCAAGCGATTTTAAAATAGTTGGTGTTCTACATACATAGTGTTGGGGCAGATCTCTTTTTCAAAACCTGATGGTAGGTCTTTATACGCCTGCAGAGTCAAGGCACATTGGGCCAACTGAAGACAACAACTGAACTGAGTAAACCTTGCGCCAGCCGGCTGGCCCTATCAACCTTTCAGAAAGTTTTTCTTTCCAGTAGTGTCTTTTAAAACGAATAGGCTCTGCACCAATTGTAATTTTTTCTCTTCTTTTTGCCACTGGAGATTCTGAAGTCACCGGGCTCTGCTCAACCAATGTATAGTCTACAAATCATCGTATCACATCAATATTTTCCCTTGTGTTTCTGGGAACATCATCTTCAGAAGATTGATTGACGAGCTACGCAACTGTTGGGCGCATTGTCCCTCCTAGTTCTTGGATCGCTTTCAGGAAGAAGAAGACTGAAAATATTTGGTAAGTAGATCTGGATCGGTCAAGCAAAATGCTTACTTCAATCTCCACCATCCTGCAGTTGTTGCGAATTGGTGTTGTGTCGATCAGTGCCAGGAGAGGTTTACGATGGGGAAGTGGTCTCCCGCTTGGTTGGTAAAATTTAGGGATGGTAACATGGCGGCAAAGATGCGAAGAGACACCTGTTTATCTTCACACAAACGAGGCTCATGCGATTTTGAAATTTTGCAGATGAGAGCCTTTGAGAGGCCAACTTCACAAGCGGCCGTATTTGCTTGCTATTTGGCTTTCGGCCCCTGCAATCAAAATTTGTAAGCGAAACTTCAAGCGAGAGATCTCCCGAGTATGTATGTAAGGGATTAATGTTAGGGCAACATGTAAATAAGTAATAGGCTTATCGCTAACCTCTTTCCCAAATAGGATACAGATTATTTCTCGAGTTGGATAGGATTTTCTTATAACGCGGATTATTTCTCGAGGTAGGATCCCAGCATATCCATAGCAATTCGGAATATGATTGTAACTTTGCGCCCCCCCCCCCCACCCCCCCAAACTCCCCCAAATTCCGGTTTGCCAAAAAAATTCAGAAGCATCATTCACGACTTCTCTTGTTCCATTCTCGCTGTTAAGGAGACGACCAAATGGCGGAAAAAGTTGATTACATCCTTGGTTGTGGCGGCATGGCAAGTTGGGAAATAGGATCCGCATTCACCCACCCAATAGAGAGATTTCTCTGACTACCTGACCTCATTCACCGGCTCAAGGTTTGGCTGTAGCAGTCCGTCTTTCCGAAAACCCGAAAATTGACGGGCCTTGTGGCTCGAAGTGAAGGTCCCCT